CGCTTTGTAACGCCTCAAAATGTTTATATTCCTAGATAGGTACATCTCATACGTCTTGCAACTACAGTCACCAAATAATGAGATAAAAGTGCGTAACAATAAACTTACTTCAAGATTGTCGTGGTTCTGGTTTAACTGTATCGTAATTTCAAACTTTTTATTTGTTAAATATTTCTAGAAATTTGTTTTATCTTAACATTATATCTATTAAAATCTGTATTTAATTTGCATTTGTATTAGCTCCTGTATTAACCTATAATAGATATTTTTGTAAGTCTATGTAAATTAATAAGGAATGCTTAAACAAACATTATATTTAGTACCTACACATTAAAATAAAACTTACGATAAAACAGGAAACATAATTGTTAAATCCGGTGCGACGATCCCGGGGCTTTCTTAACTAATATATTGCGCGCTTAAAACCGTTATAAGTTAATTTAAAAAATTAAATACAATTGGTTTAAAGTAAATAAAGATTAAATAACAGAATTTCATTTCTATAAAAAGTATTTCGCGGCGTAAAGCGACACAATTATAGGAGACGTGAGCCTTAACACTGAAAAGCTTAACAGAGTATCGATAGGTATCGTCTATATTCAACTCCGTGTCGACAGAGCAAGGCAAGATTAAGGTGACTCGCGTATTATTATGATAATTCGGGCGGAGTAGATGGTATCGCTAGCTATCCGCTCTCATAACACAATTGAATTAGCATAGCTGAGTGTTGGCCGCAGCGGGCGGTCCTAGCCACGCGACCACCAATGTATTTCTCACATCCGATTTCATCACTTTTTATGCAGCATCGACAGTCCCCATTTGTTGTGTTTACGAATTTATTTGGCTTTTAAATTAAACACTTTTAACGGTTAATAACGCGAAATGTATAAATTAACTTATTCACTATTTATTTTAACTACGGCCCCATGTATAGAATGCTTCGCAGCATCCGTGGTCATGGAGTGACTGGAGATGAAGGACTGCGTGGCCACGACTAGCTACTTCTAGCTTTTAACAGTGTTTTATTTAATTCAAATCATTAATTTCATATACAATAATACGCGTAGGCACAACACCGCTTTTAATTTTTTAATGATGCCCCATGATTGATATTTGAAGTAGAAGAGTACATAGCTAATATATGTATAAACAATATACCACAGATAAACCGACACAACCCAAAATGTGTTAACGCGCTCGTATAGTCCAGTATGCAAGTAAATTGTCAAATATAAAATGTCAAAACGCAACTGTCAAGTTTTATTCCATATTATTATCATTATGTCTCTCGATTAGAAAATCGTCATACATATTTAAAACAGCTTGATTTGCTGTAAAAATATAAATTAAAGAAAGGATTCAGAAAACCCCAAACTTACTATTCTTACTGTTTAGTGCGTTAATGATTTTTGTTGTGTTTGTTATTTGATATCTTCGTTCGTTCGTGCAGGAAAAATTTTATTGCATGTATTATCCCATTTTATTTTATTGTTAATTCTGTTCTCCTTTTCAATAAACAAAGGTTGTCTGGAAGACATCGCCATGGCTATAAGGCCGCCTTTGCACTAACTCTTTGATGTAAATAATTAATTTAGTATTACTATATTTGTATTTTATTTGTTTGAGCAATAAATGTGTTAATTATTATTATTAAAAAAAAAAAACATTTTTTAATGTGTACTACTCGCGTAAACGACATACATAATACAGTAATTTAAACCTTTATATCTCAGAGGGTTTCAACAACCGTATAAGTCAGTAGCAAGATATAAACGGATCAATACAAAAACAATTGAGGCCCTCAGCAGATCATTGTGGACATTAGTGAGGCCATCAACAACAGACGCGGTTTAAAGCTCGGCGAAAGTGAAATTCATAGAGCTCGTGTATCGTGAAATATGGCGAAGAGGGTGAAGTCACGTGACCCTCCGGCCTCCGCTAATGGAGACTGGGGCTTCGAGTATCCTAAGAGATACTCGCCCAGCGTTGATCATTTTTGAAGACAAACAGAATTAAAAACGTAACCTAAATATAGAGAATACAAAAACGGGATATTACATGATGCTAATAATATTGTAAACTAGCTGTTCCAGCGACTGCGGACGCGTTTGCATTTTTTTGCGTATTAAAATTTGTTTTTGCAAACCTTCTCATATTCCTAAGTCCCTTTCTTGCAAGTTATTCATATTATTTTCTATCTGGGACACCTATAGAATGCCGGGTGATCAGTCCACACCATCATTTCACCCATAAATTATTCTTAAAAGACAGGACATATACAGTCGTGGACATTTATTTTAGGTTATTTATAGATGAATCATTCTTTTATACATTATTTTCGACACAAATATATTTTCAAATGAAAATGTTTAAATACTGAGTTTTTTTAGTATGGGGATCGCACTGAGCGGCGTGACAATAAAGATTCCATATCTTTACTTGTATTTAGTAAAAAGATCGTTGCTTACGTTAATTTTTTTAGAGGCAGGTACAATTTTCTTATTGTATAGTCGTTTATTTTAAAATTATGTATGTACTTGTATGTCATCCTTATTTACTTTAAACTCATTATTTCTGACTGTCAATAGGCGCTGCAGCAAATCTGTTGTCAGCGACAGCTTAGTGATTTCCTTCCACAGCAAAGTTAGTGTATTTGACAATTGTAACAAAGCTATTTTATTTCATATATCTTTGTATAATTTCTGTATCTTTATTATTGGTATGTATTATTTGAATTTTAATTTCAGTAGTATAATCAACTGTAACATGGACAAAATATAAGCAGTATAATGAATAGATGGCTGATGAGTACCTAAGTGCATCGCCTCGGCCCACAGTACTTAGTGCATAATGCGATGGACCGCCATTAATTTAAAGTACGCAACAACAAATTGCAATCGGAAAATTTACAGTTAAAAGCCGGATGCGACGTTTAATAGTTCGCAATTTCCTTTAATTCTCGTTAGCAATAATGCCATAATGGGACGCGTGCGTCGTCGGTTTGCCAATGGGGATATGTTATTGTGGATCTGAAGGTCGTGGCTCGAAATTTTATGAGTTGTTTTAATGAAGAATAGCTGGACCATAAGAAAACATATACAGATCTTTTTAAAGGAAGACAGACAAGCTCGGGGTTCACTGGTAGGTGGAATACCATAGTCTTATAACATCTAAATAAGATGCATTGTCGATCTATTCTGGCGTTGGATATTCGGAACTCCACATACTGAACCCGAAACGCGATTAAACGTCACAGTTTTTTTTTTATGTGGACGGTAGTTCGTGACTTATCGTAATTTGGATATTCCTACCACCCATATCATATCAGGATTTTCAAACGAAGTCCAATATGTGTAAACAAAAAATTTAGAACATGCTGGGGTCTAATTAATCTAAATTAATATTAAATGGTATGGAATACTATATTTCCGTCTGAACTAATCGCCGTCCATAGAAAGCCATGACGTTTAATCGCCATTCGATTTCAGTCTGTGAATTTCCGAATATCTAAAGCCAAAAGAGGTTGAAAGCCTGCCTACAAGAATTATATAAAGACAAATCGGTCTTCACTAAAATAATAAATCCATTACATATCTTCTCATTTTGAACGTAGAAATAAAACAAATACCTCCTTGAAAAACATTAATATTTTCACGTCATATTGCACATGATGGCACTATATGGTATATACATTAAAAGTTTATTTTAGATAGAAAAATTTAAAGATACAAGCGGGACTTGAACTGCCATCTACAGCGTTCTTTGCTATTGTTATTACCAATTGATATCTGGTATCGATTTTTAAATCCCCATTAATATAACATATTTCACAAAATTGTTAATATTGCATTTTATATAGACACTTATTAGCAAATTCATATCTTATCAGCCTTGAAAGGGTTTGCTGAATCATGCATTTCATGGAGCAATTACAAAATAAGATCATACAGAGAGACTGCGATGGGATTGTGAATGATTCGTTCCGGATATATGATAAGGCAGATTGGCTGAATGGCGATATCTATGAGGTCTCTCCGCGGGAGGCGAACCCGGGACGCCGCGGCTCACCATTGTGTTACGATAAGTGCCAAACGTTGTTTTGTATCGATACGGCTTTGTGACACTTTTATGAAAATAACAATTGTAATTTTGAAGTGGTTCGTTGTGTGGTGGTGTATTCGGAGTTTATACCGTGTTATACTGTTACCGATATAATATATTGACAAATATAGATCGCGTTTCAACCTGTTGAATATTGTTTTTTTATATAAATGTATTTTAATGATAAATATATGTGTTGTATATATATTTAAACAGCTTCTTTTTGTGTTTTCAATTGTAGGTATTTTAGAAATCTTGAATCTCATAATTTCTAGATTAAAACTAGTCTTTTGACTTTTTAATATTTATTGAATTCTACGTATTTCAAAAATCATTACGAGTGCTTGATAGTGTTGATAAGTGTTGATCTATTATTGGATAGAAATATCTAGAATTCAAACAAACAATAATTGTAAGGAAAGTAAGTATATTTTTTTAATCATATACATGTAATTGTGATTTAAAAATTTGAAATGTAATGTGATTGACAAAATTTAAGTCACCACAGTTTTTTAAGACTTGTTTATTTGTGCTTTTTTGTGTAGGTACCTTATAAATAAAATAAATATAAAACATAGCTCTATATATACTGTCTATAGTTTACGCGAGTAGTAGACATTTAAATAAAACACTTTAACAGTTTAAAACGCGATATATTAGTTAAACTTATTTGAAAATGATTTTTAACTTTAAGTTAAAAATGATTTTTAAATTAAAACTAACTAATATATCGTGTTTTAAACCGTTAATATGTTTTATTTAAATAGCTCTTTGTTTCAATACGTGTTATTTATTATTTAAAACAACAAAAAGTTTCAGCTTCTTTAGTCCTAAGACAAACGCGTTCCAAAATGAAATCTCGCATGACAGATGCGCGTCATCAAAGCGGTAATTTCGTCTCAAATGAGCATCCGTAGTAGACCGCGATGACAGTAGAACAAAGCGGCTATCGGGTAGTGGGTATTAATTAGTGGAGCGCCTTTGAAAATAACCTTCTCCGTCATCGGGGCATCACGTATCGACAGGGCCCGATGACGGTTCGGCGCCGGGACCATGACTTGCATCCAACCTTCATTACCCGCTCTAACAAGCTGGGTTAATGCAATGAGTTGCGAAAACCCCTTTGACCGGAAATTAACGTCCTTAAGACAAGCGCATAAGACTCAATTTATCACTTCGAGCCACGGGAGCCGACTGTCCCGATGACATTAATGACCCTAAATCCGACACTCAAATCTCAAGGGCCCCAATGCTGTATTAGTTTCTTCATTCGTAAAGCGTAACCTCTATTAGAAGCGGTATGTTCAAACAAATGAGATCTTTTATTTGAGCTATGTGACGAGTGGATATTGTAAATAATATTTTTTTGGCGTGGCAAGTAATAGATAATTTTGTAGTATAAGTGCTAGTGACGCTTAAGAAGGTGTTGTAGATTTAGGTATCTAGATTTTTTCGTAAGATGATCGAAGTTTTATTTTATAAAACGCGTGTCTTACTTTTAGAAAGAATGACTTTTTAGTTCATTTGTATTCCAAAATTGAAACTTACACGGTAGCTTCATTGGTTACAGCCACAAGGCCTGTCCGTGCTTGTAATTTTTTTAATTTCTAGTTGATAGATATTAGTTAGACAAAATATTTTTTCAGAAGCAACAAAAGCTCATACACATACCTAGTATTTGTAGTTTACGTAAAAAAGTAAAAAGTTTTATCGATGTCTGAATTTAAATAAAACATATCTAACGGTTTAAAACGCTTTTAATAAGATAACATATTTTTTATAAAACTAACTTCAGCCCAACGTTAAATTAAAAATAAGATAACTAATATATGTCGCGTTTAAAACCGTTAAAAGTGTTTTATTTGAATGTATACTGCCTCAGCTCGGATTCGGATTTTATTTAAGCTTTTAAAACGTTTGATTGCCTGCAATTTTATTATTGATACCTTTATCTAACCACAAACGTTATGACATTAGTATTTCTAACGAGCTATATAAAACTGTTTGCGGTTGTGACAGGAAGCCACTGAGTTAACCTGTGGTCAAGCCATTTTAACTGTTTTTCTACCACACGTTAATACCCCATCATAAATACATATAAAATGTTTTATCCGTCTGTCTGCCATCAACGCACAGCCGAAAACATACACTAATATTATAGATTTTCCTACTAAAAAGTATGAACGGGGGGGGGGAGACTTTTAAAGGTTTAACATTATTCCACAATGTTTACTTAAAATTTTACATTTAAACGTCCTATAAAAGTTAAACAAAATGTAACGGTTGAAAACCAAAATATATAATTAACTTATTTTTTACTACGACGTGCCCTTTAAAAATATCATTCGACTTTTAACCCGTTCAAATTATTTTATTTTACTAACATGAGGTGGGAACGATATAATAAGTCATTGAATCTTGTCTACTAACAGAGTTTAAAAGGTTTAAAAATTCCACCGTGATTCCGGATGCAAACCACGTCGAATCGTAGTAACGTAAATTAATGGATATATTACGTATTTTGAACCGTTAAAAGCGATATTTAGATATCTACTCACTTAAACTATCTATAGTAAGTATCTGAGTATAAGCATTGTCTGTACATCTAGGTACACACGTAACGTAACGCGGGTAACACCGCGAGGCGCCTCTAGTATTATTTAATAAATATGCATAGCTCTCACTAATGAACGTTGAAATTAATGCTGCTTAATTCAGTCAACGGGATGTAGTTCCCATAATAAAAATGTCTACACCATTTGTTTAAAAATCGCGCGTTTGACGAAAAAATAAATACACGAGATATCTTACTACACCCCTGTGTTATTTTCGTGATTTTTATCAACCCCCCCCCTTCAGGCCTCACGTGATTAATGGACAACGCCATGTTTTTTTTTTTTTTTTTTTATTTAACTTCTTTAACATTATAATTTTGTTTAACAATAATTAAACCGGTAAAGAAACCGTCTTACGGTTTATGCTAACCGGCTTTGGTACCTTAAGATATATTACGTCTATAAAAGCTCTTTAAAATAAAAGTCAAACGTACGCCTTTTTGATTGTGTTATAACTGCGATAAAAGTTTAGCAGAACTATAAATAAAGACTATATTGATACAATTTAAAGATCGCTCAGAGCAACAGCACGGAAAGCTGACGATGCCGGTTCAAGACTTCAAGTCCTGCCGAGTCGAAATTTTTTTCAATTTATTATCGATCTTTAAATTATATAGTGCCTTCATGTGCAATAACATGTGAAAAATATTAATGTTTTCAAACTATATTGATACAGTTAAATTATACTAACACCCCATTCTATTTTAATAACACGTTACTAGCACGTAAATTTACGATACCTCGAAGATGAACGACTTCTAAAAACGTAACGAGACACCGAAGACAATGTTTCACGCTGCGTAAGAACGTCTCTCGCGCAGTAAATATAATTTCCTCGACAGCTTCATTTAAATACCTTTTGTCAATGAACGGGTTGAACACGACTCGATTCGGTGATAAAAAAGATATATGGCGGGTGTCGGCGCTACTGCTCGGCTTGGATTTAATTTTTGATAATTGCCTCGTGTACCGCGTGACAAATATTTTAATTAGTTGAAACCGAGCTTGACGTTGGCGTTTTTATGTGTGTGGACATATTTCTGTGTTTGTTTTACGGATCGGTTTTATTTACAACCGACCGACAGTAACGATCTGTTGTTACCCTGGTATTCGAGCCCAGTTAACGTAGTTCTAGGCAACACGTTTTACCACTTAGCTATAGAGACAGTCAAAGGCGCGGTTTTGTAAGACTAATTCTATATTTGACGTGACCGTCTTTTTTTATTAGACGATAGAGATTAGAAGGATCTACAAATGTAAATAAGATAGTTTCAATAACAAATGAAACATAAGTTACATACGTGACTAGTTAACCGCTTTTATCGGGTCAAACGAAAAATAAATTAATTATCTACAATTTATATTATCTATAGCCCAACGTTTCGGATATTTTGCAACTGACGAAACGTGGGGTCTCAATTAAAAGACGTTTACTCTACTTCTTTATATATAAGTATTTCATCTTAAAAACAGTATTCTCATTACGGTAACTAATAGTAGAAGGAAATAAAGATCTGTTTATAGGTTACGTGAGTAGTTTCACATTTGAATAAACTTAAAGTTAAAATAATTTTCATATAAGTTTAACGAATACATGTCGCGTTTTAAACCGTTAAAGTATTTTATTAAAGATTTCAAAATCTTATCTCTCCGACTGCGTATAATTTTTGACATCAACAAAGGAATCTCTTTGGCAAATACTTAAGCGTTAAGTGGCTAATGTCCGCCGCTAATCCGACACAAAAAAACTCACTATCAAAAGTGACGGATCTTGGCCCATTGTGCGAAATGTCAAGTTGTGAGCATGTCAAAAGGCTACATCGGATTTGCCGAATTATATGGCACTCGGCTGACAATGCGCACCTTAATCCCAACAGCCATTTAGCCGGCACAAATAAATGTACGTCGGTCTGGTTCAGTGCCTCAATGCCAGGGACTTCACGCAGCGCCCGCTGTGAATGGGCGAACGACAAAAAAAATCTATTAAGCGCGCATAATGGATTCGATTCGATGGTAATATTGTTCCTGATACATACGGAACTGGATATATTGTGGTTTACTTACGAGTGCCATTTAAAAATAGCTCTCTATAAGCAAACTCCATAGTTTGGTTGAAATGTAAGACTTACTCAGGAAAAACGGTAAAATTCTTACAAAAATCATTATAGACTTTACATTCTATTGTAAATGGACTGAGATTAAAAATAAACAAAATGCTTGTGCCCTGTTTTATAACAATATGTTTATTATTTAAAAATTATCTTTATTTTGATATATTAACCGTAATTTATTTACTTTATACTTAGGTGATTAGATGTATGTGCCCGGACCTAGATACTGAAACTTATATGATGCCGGAGATTCAAAGCTAGGACCTCACGCTAATGCTATGCTAAGCAACGGCTATAACTATTGAGGCACAATTTAGATATAGCTAAATAAAATATTAGCGACATATTATATAACATGTCTAATAACAAATAAATATCCCGTCGGTTGCTATAATCCAGTTAAGATGAAATCGCCATTTATTGAAGAATACATTGTTCGATAAAACAAAATTAGATAATACTGCGCCGGTTGAATAGAATTATTTTCAATCGATACAGAACAATACGCTATTGTTCTTATTGAATGCTTTAAACGCAAACCGGTTCGAGCTGTGATAAATCAAGATCATTCATCATCATCATCAATTTGTCCGCGATGACAAATATTTTTGAGCTATGATCGATGGTGTTATTGTTATTTCTATCTTACCTAGGTATTGCTAAGAGCCCCATTATTATCTCAATCATTTAATGCATTGACTAGCGTTAAATGCGAGTAAGCCTTGTATATAAATCTTGGAGGAACATTAGTTTTATGAGGACAGTTTTAACAGGTTTAACGATAGTTTTGATCAATAAAATGAAAAGATATGTGTTTGCTTTTCGCTAACGCCTTTTCACATATTGGTAACTCAACAAGTTTAAGTACTCAAAGAAAAAACATAAGGCTTCAGAAGTAAACAAAAATGATTATTTATCGTCTAAAAGTTTGCACGTATCTTATACAATAACAATTCAACAGACACCTTTTAATTCAATTATTAATAACGTAAAGTAAATGAAAAATAATAGTATTGTACTAAAGAACATAGGTAATAAACATTTTTATACTATTCACCTAAATAAAGAACCTAAGAAGAAAGAACGAAGTGCCTTCGACCATACTTCTGTAGTAGGCCTATTTTAAAAATTACTCTAAAAGCATAGACTTGTTACGGTTTAATAAAATTATTGCTGTCCCTAACGGTAAAAATAAGTTTACAACGCTAAAGAATCCAGATAATTTAACGTAGTTATGCTAAATTAATTTTAACTAAAAGACTTAATAAATTACGCACGGCCACAGGCACAAAATAATATTCATAAAAAAAAAACTCACGATCGTCTTATTTGGCGGCGCCGGCAGGGGCGCATACATATCGGTGATCATTTTATTGTCCACAGATAAGCACTAGCACATTTCAGTTGTTCAACGATAAATAATTATTCAAATTCGGAACGACAGCTTGACAGCTGACGGTTGCACTGTTTGATGTTCGCGGAGCGCGCGACGCGTCCGCATGACGTGGACGTAGGATCGCAGCGAGCATTGGCTCGGTGCGGGCGCGCTTGCGGGCGGTGGGCGGGTCACCGCGGCCTCTCACTCGGCCCCGCCCACACGAAACCCCGCCCCAAGGTCGTATATCGATCGCGCGACTCCATTTTATTTTGAGTCTCGATTTGCATAAACTTTTCTTCGCGTCGTAAGTATCTACTTTGTACGCGTTTACGTGTTGTTAATGAACTTCTTAAATGTCTTCAAACGTTCAAAAGGTAATGGGACTCCTTTATAATTATTAGCACTTTGTACAGAGTTAAAAATGACTTAACGCTTTAAAATAAAGTTCGGGTATTTTATTTCAGGGGTTTTATTTCAATTTCCTACCTACACTGATTGTAACCAAGTAGGTAATTAGATCTGATTATAAGCTAGTTTACTATTAAAACCTTAACCGACTAGTTGATCTTAGTCTAACAGTTTATAAAACCAATTTTAATCTTTCTGAAGCGTGTTAGACTTTGTCTAGATTATCTGTAGGTATATTTACTGGGTAGTAAAAATTCAGCTCGCGTTACTGGCTTGTCCATAGATGGAAAAGTCGTGAAATGGTAAATTTACGTTTTACTTTCAGCCTGTGGATTTCCAAATATCAAAATTCGACAGCGTAACTTCTTCGGATATTAGGAATATAGCCGCGGTATATACTTCTTCTTTTGTATTACCTATTTATTATAAAATAAAGGTTTATTAATTTATTTGACTTTATCTACCACTAACCAGGTAAGGCCAATCGTTGAATTTTCATCTAATTTCCTCAAACATCTGTCGTACCCTAATCTATATCTAACGTACCAACAAGGTGTTAAAGATAATGAAATATAATGCTCACCACCCAGACCCTTACAAACACGACCAAATAATTCCTAATGGCACATAAAAACAGCATAGTTATAAAAAAATAATGGCGCTTCACCCCATGCGTACGACCGCTAAATTCTAAGACAGCGCTCGAGAACAGCTAAACCGTCTAATAGTTTTACGACACGCATAACACGGGTATGTCATCATGTTTTATTGGATGCAAACTTGGACTTTATGTTGATTAGAATTAAGATTAAAATAGTTTAAACCGGAAATGACAGTCGCAATGTATTAGGGCTCAATCATATTTCGGTAGGGGGTTTGAGGCGTGTTCGGGATAACGAAATAAAACGCGTCGAGTCGCGCGACGACCGTGCGAAAATGTAATAAACATTTTAATTTGAACTCCAAACTCACGCTGAGATGCAAAATTACGGTGGGTGTGAAGTTGGAATCGAATTATGAACGCTTATGTGAGCTTCCTCAATTTTTCTTATCGCTTTTCATACAAGTACCTATCTCTAATTATTTCGACGGATTCGTTGTTGTAATGGATCATCAATGGTTTATAACGTAATCTATAGATTTACCAGGTAGGTACCTACAACATTATCTATAATAAATTTTTATTTTTTATAAAACATGTTGGTCTGAAATTCTGGAAAGTGAAAGCCCGTTTCGCCCTCGCGGGGCATGGAGCGGACACATTTCTGTGTTCGTTTTATTGATCCGTTCTTTTAACGGGCAAGTAGTTGATCAGACGTCTGTGCCCTGCCCGACCGAGACAATTTTTTTCGTTCCCTGGGATTCGAACCCAGGACCTCTCGCTCTAAACGCAACGCTGGGTAATACGTTTAACCATTCGGCTACAGAGACGGTTAAATCTGGAAACGATAGGAATAGAGAAATTCAAAAATTCTGTTCGTGACCCGAACACGCTATTCTACGACCACAGGTGAAAAATCAGTGAAATTTAATGCTTCGGTTTTAATCTGTGGATGTCCGAATATCCGGAGCCAAAATAGCAACCTGTGTGTCTAAAGTGGATGTTGTTTAGATGTTATTTTCGACGGTATTTCACCTTTCATCATGAGCCCAATGAATGTCTATACACTTCAAATAATAATCTACAAAGTTAATGCTTATTGACATTGGAACTTCTTCTGAGCAAGTTAAATCCCTTATATTTAGGAATTAGGACAGAAAGGAGCTCACGAACGCTGTAACTACAGTTAAATTATTGCCACAGCTCCTAATTGTTTCATGTCACATACACATAGACGCTTAACATGTGAAAAATATAAATATCAAGAGATAAAACGCTAAGCTATACCTATACCTATATATACCTAAATCTATTTTCGTAGTTTATACCTATAAACTACGAAAATAGATTGAGTAATTAATATAATTTTTAACCATAACTAATTATATTTACATAAATGAACTTGAACTATTAATTAAAAATTGTTTTTTTATGTGTCTATATAATACTTTTCTGGAATAAACAAAAATGGTACATTTATTATAACAACCTTTACATATCGTTTTAATATAGAATAATATATTTGAAGAAAGTATTTTATATATCTTACAAATAATTACTTCAACATCCTCAATACAACCCAGTCACGTTCGATCTACTGTACCACAGAATACATAAGTACAGTAGGTTTACACAGTATTGGTTGTCTATAAATGACCGGCGGATATTGAGCTAACTGACGGAAACTGGCGTCGCCGGTTTCGCCAGTTACGACCTATGATTCGACTGGATTACTACTGGTTTATTTTAAAACTACTTTACTGTTGTAAAGATAGAAAATACTATTGTAATATTTTATAGAATTACGACAACTTAGCAGTTTTACAGTGAATCGCTGATATGAAAATATTTTCGGGTTTTTTATTAAACTCTAATTCTTAATTTGAATCTATGAGTTAGATTTTTAAAAAGCTATCGTATTATTTAAAATACTAGGACAATATTTAAATACTGTCTGTAGTACATTTTAATGGTTTAAAACACGATATATATTAGTAAACTTATTTGAAAATATTTTATTTATACAATATAGAACAATATTTTCCTAAAAACACCTTATCCAACTCACAAAAGCAATCGTACAGTTTTACGATAAACATTGAACGTAGAAATCTCAGAAGATTAAGTAGCTAGGTAGGTGTACCGACCCTCTTCGAAGGCTCTCCCCTCGATAGTTTTACGTTTACATAGGGGTGTTGGAGAGGTTCTAACGGCCACTTCACGTATCCGCAATGAATTCCTACCTATCTTATGTACCTACCTTTAGATAGAATACAACACTCGTAGCTGGATGAACTATAAATTTAGTTTATAATTTATATACTTTTTAAAAGAAATTAATGATAAGGACACGTAAAACAAATTAGATAATAACAAACTTATTCTTCTCAAACATGCTTGAAAATTTAAAGCTCTGAATTAATTATTAATGTTCTGAATCGTATTACTTCGTTTTAATTTAACTGCATTATTTGAGAAAAGTACTAAATAAAAATAAAAGTTCTTTGTTCGCAACTAGACATCGATCGACTTACGTATGTGTGCCTCAGCTTTGCCTTTGCGTTAACGTTCGTTTATCTTTTCTACTATTAGATGACATTCAAAGCCTACTTTATTAATTTCAGCCGTACCCCAGACTTTATGCGCTTAACATGGATTCAGTCATTGAACCACGGAGGCAGTACTTGAAATGCGAATCGACCACACATACTCTGCAAAGAACGCCTGTAGCGCAGCGCGTGCGCAGAGCGTTCGCTATTCTAAACCACGCTCTCAATGCGCATTGTATGGTAAACGTCTGCTTTTATAGAATATATTTTCAATCGCATGTTCAATGTTTGTCCTATTGGAAATATAATATACATATTGTTTAGTGAAATAATGGTATTGTTGTTATATAAAAAAGTTTCTTTTCGTTAATATAACACAATGAACATGTATTATACTTTTAAAATCATTATATAAATTTGTAGTAACTAAGTTAATGCTTCGTGAGTTCTGTAGAATCATAAACAATAATATTTTTGTCCTTTCCAGCCAGCTGAGAAAAGGACTTGGACCTTTTGTGAATCTGTATCTTGATTTGAATATACAAAAATTGATCATCTTGTCACTATTAAAGATCATAATTGTGTTTAAAGGTGACGTAAAAACATTTAATTTTTGACAGAGAAGGACAGAAAAGCATAGGATTCACTTGATGGAAGGTGAAATGCCAGCCATATCTAAGCTGGATGCACTGTCGACTTATTTAAATTTTGGTTTTGGAAATTAGGATATCCACAGACTGAAACTAAAATACTTAACGGCCATTTCATCAGTGGACGGTAGGGCGAGACCGGGACCGAATTTCGATAATACTAACATCCATTTAATATCCAGATTTCCTGACGAAGTCCAACGTGTTTTAGAAAAATTATAAACTTAATAGAAACATGGTGAACCACCGGGTTTGAACCCACCGACCCGTTTTTATTAGCTACATTGCTACTACCTACCAACGGGCTTGTCATAAATCTAATTTGAGAATAAGTTATTAATTATTGTTTTAAATACAGTCTATCGTTTGCGCGAGTAGTACATATTTAAATAAAACACTTTAACGGTTTAAATCGGTTTAAAACGGTTTAAATAAAAATTATTTTTAACTTCGGCCCGACGTTTCGGATGCATTGCAGCAGCCGTCTGTGACCACGGATAACTTAGTTATTGTTTTCCTTATTTTGTTTTTAATCATGTAAAACAAAAAGATATTTTTGATTAAAATGACTTGCGGTTATAAAAGACAAAAAATCAGCGCAATGTAATATTTGGCTATAAACTGTCCGAAATGTCGTGTTCGTGTGTCGTATTAAAATAATTCTACGATTTGAGTTTTAAAACGTTAAGCATTGTTGTTAAATTGTCTTATAAAATATGATATTTAGTTTTATCTAGAACGAGCAGATAGATAGCAAAGTGCGAGTGGCATTTTAAGTAAAGGTATGAGTGATGTTGCGCACGCTTCGGTCGAGACAAATCAATCGGTCTCGCCTCTCAGGCGCACAATGCCCATTTCACAGCCTCAATGCAACATCAACTTTGATATCGACAAAATAAATTATCGATTTCGTCATTTATTATTCGTTCCGATGTCATTTTGTCAGTTCGTGATGTTCGCGGCTTTGTTTCGATCGGGTATTTTCAGTATGAATAAACAACCCTATATCTAATATCCTATAATATATAGCATATATATACATTTATTTATGATAGAAGAGGCTTTCAAATATGATTTAGGTATTTAAATAAAACACTAACGGTTTAAAACCCGATATATTAGTTAAACTTATTTGGGAATGATTTTTAACTTCGGCCCGACGTTTCGGATGCTTTGCAGCAGCCGTGGTCACGGGGAGACGGAGAAGTGTCTCCCCGCGACCACGGCTGTTTTACATAATTAAAAACAAAAAAAGGAAAACAATAATTATTTAAATAAAACACTAACGGTTTAAAACGAAGCATCCGAAACGTCGAGCCGAAGTTTAAAATTTTCAAATAAGTTTAACTAATATATCGCGTTTTAAACTGTTAAAGAGTTTTATTTAAATATGTACTACTCGCGTAAACTATAGATAGTATATGATTTAGGTATGTAAGTGTCTTTTCTCGTTATTTTTTAGCCAGAGAAAAAGTGATTCCTGCAAAACCTATTTACGATTCCTTAAATCACCCCTAAGTATTAAAATAGAGATAGAGATGGAGATGGAGATAGAGAATACTGAAGTTGATAATAACGGAACTGATTCAAGTTACATTATTTTATGATAAAATACCCAATATTTAAAATTTATGACACGTTTTAGGAAAATCTTAAATATTGTAATTATAAAAGTTACTCTATTATTTATACTTAATCAAGCTATGCTGGCAGACCCGATTTACTTATATATAGAATTGTATAAGCATCGTACTATTTATGTAACTAGAGAGTTTACTTAGAGAGACCACTTTTGACATATTTTGACTTTTAAATAAAACACTTTAACGGTTTAAAACGCGATATATTAGTTAAACTTATTTTTAACTTCGGCCCGACGTTTCGGATGCTTTGCTTTGACCACGGCTGCTGCAAAGCATCCGAAACATCGGGCCGAAGCTAAAAATCATTTTCAAATAAGTTTAACTAATATATCGCGTTTTAAACCGTTAAAGAGTTTTATTTAAATGTGTACTACTCGCGTAAACTATAGACAGTATTTAATATTTTGACTTTTGACTGACTTGACTTAAAACTTTGTAAATAATCTCTTCGGAATGTACCTGTTACGAAAAAAATCCTTTTTCATATTTTTAAAAGAATAGGTCCAATAATAAACATATAGCGATAAGTAAAATGGATGAAGACTTGCGTTTTAATCCAAAAGTGAACGGACACAAACATGTATTCTCTATAAACAGGGTAAATGAGATTTGCATCATTATTGATTTTAGTTTTTTACATTGTAGCAAGGTTACAAAAGTAACGAACTGACATTTAATGAGCTGCAACATTGTTTCCCTAATATATTATGTATGGGACCGGATGTTAGCGAGTACTAATTTCGTAATTTGTATATTAGAAAATTAAGTACTTACTAAGATCTTCATATCCTTATGGACCGCGGACGTGTCGATACTAACCTGTAAAAAGAGAATTTATTTAGGCAGATTCATTGTCATACATACAAAATAATAATATCCAGATTTCCAGACGTCCAACAAGTTTCGGAAAAGTTATAAATCATTTTAGATATGTTGAACCCGGTGGGTAACGAACCCACGACCCATACGCATTGATTATTGGCCATTGCTACCATGAAAACCAACGAGTGGTTAAAACCTATGTAGATAATTTAGGATTTATTAAATTCATTTTAAAATAAGTAATATTGTTTTGTTAAACATTTGACTCCTGGAAGATTTGGACATTAAATAGGTAAGGTTGATTGTTAAATGTTATATTAAATACTGTCTATAGTTTACGCGAGTAGTTCACATTTAAATAAAACACTTTAACGGTTTAAAACGCAATATATTAGTTAAACTGATTTGAAAATGATTTTTAACATCGGCCCAACGTTTCGTTTCCCGTGACCCGGCTGCTGCAAAGCATCCGAAACGTCGGTGTTTTATTTAAAAATGTTATATTAATAATACGGTTATATTTTAGCTTTATTTCAGTGGTTCGTTCTTGTCTGTCTGTCCTGTTGTTTGTCAATGTTTACAGCTTCTTTCGCCATCTCTCTTTAGCTGACCGCTTAAGGCTGTTGTATTTTTGTATATATGTCAACTGAACCCATGCGTATTCGTCCTGATAAACGCCGTCAGAAGACGACATAAAAGTTTAAAACAAACTCGCTTTGTCTGTCCCTAGGTGCGCTTTAATCTTTAAAACTATGCAACAGATTTCGGATGCGTTTTTTTAGTAGATAGAGTGATTTGAGAGGACGGTTTTTACATACGTTCACAGTGTATTTAGTATCAGCATTGCACACGAGCGAAGTCGGGGCGAGTCGCTAGTCTACGATAAACGCATACTAGAAGTCAAATCATACATCTGAATCCCGAATTGAAGTCCCGTATTAATTGAATGAAGCAAAAAGTTAATTAGAAAGTTCCAGAAAGCGAATATCATAAGTCGGTGCGTACACAGGCGAATTTAATCCGGAGCGTTTTTAATTATGGCAGGAGACCCGGAGTCGGCTGGTTTCGGCGCCGTGCGGCCGCTAGCCCTGTAATTACGGGCCCCGTAATTGCGAGACCCCTTCGGCCCCCCCCCTTTCCACCCGCGCGGCGCTCTAGCCTCAGCGATGCCACTGAAATTAGGACGGTCGCCATCCCATGGCTGAATTAAAACAATGAGGGTATGGTGGGCTAAAGGCTTTGAGTTCACGTGGAGAGGCAATTTGGTTGACAAATATTCCTTATTTATTTTAATTAGTATATTTTTAAAATAATATAAAACACTTCTAACGGTTTAAAACGCGAATCATGTTAGTTAACTTAATTTGTTTTTAAATTAGCTATTATTTTACAGTCATTCGCAATTTAATACTATTGTGTCTATAAAAAAAAGTGAGAAAATTAATTTCTAGTTTTTCCTCCTTTCACTTATTATCTAATCATAAAGTATATTTCTTGACATTATTTTTAAGATGTTCTGTATATTATTTCGTTTATTAAATAAATTCCGGTTTGGGTCCCAAAACTGTTATTGGATACAGATTGGATATAAAACTGTGATACACCTGTTACAAACTGTATACTTTTAAATAAAACACTTTAACGGTTTAAAACGCGATATATTAGATAAACTTATTTGAAAATGATTTTAAGCCGTGGTCACGTCTCCCCGTGACCACGGCTGCCGCAAAGCATCCGAAACGTCGGGCCGAAATTAAAAATCATTTTTAAATAAGTTTAACTAATATATCGCGTTTTAAACGGTTAAATTGTTTTATTTAAATGTGTACTACTCGCGTAAACTATAGACAGTATTTAAACTGTATACTGTAGGTACTGGACTAAAACTATATCTTTATCCCGGTTTTCGTTTTAATTCTTTTGTGCATAACGCAATCTAAACATTATACCAATATATTACCAGTACATTCAACTATAGAGGTACATTCTAATGTGTATAACTCCAATAAATTATATGATAAGAGAAAATCTGTCCAGGTGACCTTTTAAAAGGTCCTTTCTTTAACCGATATGTCAAAGAAATACTAATTTAAAGGGTAAATCTTCTTTCTCTAGTTGGTTACTTCTGAAAACCAAAATATCCGGCCCAAAGTGACGCCATAATTGCCGCCTATAATAATGCATCCGAACGCGGTTATGTAACCTGCCTTAAAAGGATTGTATTTAATTTTGATGACTCGCCCAATGTATAGTAAGCATTAACATAATTACGCTTTTAAATAACTTCATTGAAAGCCTCTGCTGGTTTATATTGGTATGAAGCTTATTTGTATTTAAATAAAACAGTTTAACGGTTTAAAACCGCGAAATATATTAGTTAAACTTATTTTAATTACGGCCCGACGTTTCGGATGCTTTGCAGCAGTCGTGGACAAGGAGAGACTAGAGATGAATGGTGTCTCTAATGTCAAAGTGAAAACTGCTACGTTAGCGCCATCTATTCCGTCGTATTTGGTATTTGGCGAAAACGTCAGGCCGTAGTTAAAATAAGTTTGACTAATATATTTCGTTCGTTCGTTCGATATCCGTTCGTGCGCCAAAATATTTATCTCTGTTATACGTGACCGTGTCATGTCCTAGAAAGGGAAATTCATTCATCAATTAACATTTTTGTAAGTTTATCTATAAAGACAGAAATCCCATCTGTCATGGTCATGTAGAATATTCCAGTTTACTTTAAAAATGCTTAAATTTTGTCCTAAAAATAAAAAAATATGTAAAAATTCTCAAGTGTTCTGAATATGCAGATAAAAGTATATAAAAAATCGAGCCTTTTTGGGTATGGTAACTGTTACTGTGACACGAGAATTTTATATATTAGACTATCTCAAGTTACCCAAAGCGATATTTATGTTATAATTTCTTTTTTGTGTTTAATATTTACCTAATACGAAATAGTCAAATCAATAAACACTAGTACATTACAAGGTTATTGAAAAAGCAAATATCTTAGGGGTTAGTGTGTGAAGGGACCACGGGCGGTTTTTGTGAGTCATAATCACGTTTGTAATCATGCCAATTAAATGTTTTTATTCCTGTTCATTCTTTGTCATGAGCCTAATATCGGCTTTTGTTGGCTTATTTTTCATTTAATTCCCATTGTGTGAATGTGAGCAATGTTATTAAAACCAATGTACCAATACTTTCTTTTATATCTTTATAATAAACGCCTGGGGTTCGAATCCTGCGGAAAAAAGGGCAAGTTTCGGCACAGAACCACATGCCAGAAGTAGGAAGTACTTAGTAAAACAGACACATTCGTCTTGGAAATGGTATACATAAATATGTACAGTTTTAGCAGTACGTTTGTTTTATGTTTAAAAATAGAAAATTTTTAATTTTAACCTACTCTGCAGCCTTTACCGTGCTCCATATTTATTATGTGAAGTATTCTTATATGTCGTATACTTGTAATCAATATTGAAGCAATTCTGGTTAAACTCAAGGTAGTTACATTAATTCGATTTTTTATTAAATACCTCATTTTTCAACGTCGATCGCCATTTTTGATAAACTCACGTCGATATTTCATCGGTGACAGTTATGTAGACATTATAGGTAATGTTTACTTTAGTAAAATCCCGTTTTCTCCTAGGGCCTTGGGGTGAACTCATTCTGTGTCCGTTTTAAACAAGCGGTTTAAAACGCGAAATATATTAACATATTCACGATTAACTTTACTATGACCTGACGTTGCAGATACTATGCTACAGCCGTAGGTAGTCACAGTAATTTGTAAATTCGTTAAGTAATAAATTTCGCGTTTAAAACCGTTAAAATTGTTTTATGTAAATGACTACTATTCGCGGAAACTACAGACAATACCTTTTTTACGTTTTTTTACTGTTAGGTAATATTTAGGTTATTTTTATTCAAGAAATTTTGACGTTAAATTTCTAATTTAGCGTTAGAATAATTTCAGTAGTATTTTTTTTTATTCTTGATATTAATTTTTAAAGGTCTTTACACCAATGTGTTGGACTTCTATAAAAAGAAAAATAATTACATATTTCTTCACAGCCGACGGTTTTCTTTTAATACCGTTGGATACGTGATAGCTACTACCTTATAAGGAAAGCACGAAATAAAATCCAATTAGATTATATTGTGTTGTGTTTTTATAACCTTCATAACTCCTAAATCTATATGTGAATTTCTAAAAATAATAATAATACCAATTTAAAAAGTAACTGTAAAACGTCAAACGAAACTTATCAAAGCCTACGAAATTTGGCACACCGTAAATAAAAAAAAATGCGATCCAAAATTACCTCGTTGAAGTAATTATTGGTGACATTGTGAGGCACGGGGGGGCCCCCATGCTGCTGATAGTAAGCACAATTCATTATCACTGATCACAGCACACGCGTGAAGTTCATATCAAGAAAATCCTTAGCAATTACAACGAATCGATGCCGCGAACGAATATCGCCTACTAATTGTAGGGTTCGGCGGTCGAGTGAGCTCCGGGCTTCGCTCGCACCAAATCTTTCGTCTCATTCGTGCGTTCCTTGTTTGTTTACTCTGGGCGGGTCGCGCAGACCGACCGTCGAGGGCGGGAACTGTATCACGCAAAACTTATATAAGCCTAACGCACATTGCTGTAATCAAAGCTCTTTGAGGCTAATCAATAAGTCCGTTTGTCAATCATACTTTGATTGGCGGGAAATTTACTTAAAAGCCTATAAGTAGTGAGTTTTGAATTTAATTCTTGATAAGTTAAAACGGAATACATTAATGCTTTTTTATTAATTTAAAAGAGTCGATAGCGTTAAATTCTCAAATTTACGAGATCTGAAATCCTCCTTTAAACTGTCTCATTTTCATTAATGTTCGCTCTTATTGTTCTAACGATATTTTATTTTTTATTACAAACCTTCTAACACAAAACACTGTGAAAATACGCCTTTCTATTTAAATTATTTTTGTATCTACGATTTAAAATATTAAGAAGATTGTACATTTTTCTTTAGCCTTCTTTAGTTCGTCTGCTGTCACTTTAGAAAAAAAAAAAACAAAGCCCAAAATCCTTTGTAACAAAGAAGGTTGTATTGTCTTTCTCTATAAATACCTACCTACTTAGTAACTAGGTATTAAAAAGTTATAAAACTTCTCATTAACCACTAAAACTCAATTTAAGTAAAGTACGAGTAATTTATCCATTATTTAAACTTAATTAAGTAAGCCTTGCGATATCAGCTGCGTAAGGGCTCCATAAAATTACTAAGTTTTTCATTGCACAAATGTTATAAATGTTTCCGGTTCGTAATAAAGTATCTGTGAGTTACCCTAGATCTATTATAAAAATTGATCCGTTTTTTACGTCCCCAATCTGTGCGGGGGCGGATACGTTTCGTATGACAGGATGCATTTTTATTTCACTCCGGATCACGCGAAATGTTTAATACAGCAGCTGTTACTTTGATTTCTTATCGAAGCAAGTTTATTTAAAATAATTTAAAGAATTCGATTCAGCCGTTTGGTGTCCACTGCTGGACATAGGCCTCCCCCATAGACTTCCAGTACGACCGGTCGTTCGCTAATTGAATCCAGCGTTTCCCTGCTAACTTGACCAGGTCGTCGGTCCACCTGTTAGGAGGTCGTCCAGGTTTACGATCGGTACGTGGTCTCCACTCCAGAACCTTTTTGCCCCAACGGACGTCAGTTCTACGAGCGATGTGCCCAGCCCATTGCCACTTCAGCTTGCCAATTCGATGGGCTATGTCCGTGACTTTAGTTCTCATTGCTGATTCGATCGCGCGGCGTCACTTCGAGCATAGCCCTTTCCATCGCATTTAAAGAATTACTGGTACGTAAATCTACTATTCATTTATATTTATACAAAATTATAAATGAATGAAATCCTAGAGGAGAAAAAAAGAGTCTAGTGTGAATGACACAAAATGGACAAGAGTCGCAAGCATGGAAACTTTTAGAGAAGGCCTTTCTCGAAGGACAAGCTGTTTGCAATCAAACGTAGACATAACTACTAAGTAATAATACATTTTATAGTTTTAATTAGGCATATAGTGTTTAATTAGTAAAACAGAAATAATTTATTTATATATTTTTTATTATAGATAAATTACTTAATGAAAAGTTAACAGACACATTTACGCGACAATATCACTGATATATTTTCTCTAGACTAGTTTTTTAGACTAAGCCCTGCTCATCTGAAACTATTGTTTTGGCATATGCAATGCTAGGCAAGTACTAAGTAAGTACCAATAACATTATCATCGTCGAGACGGTCTCGGAAGAATAATCCAGTAGTCTAGTATCTAAAACCCACTAGAAATCGCTCGTATGAAATTAATTACACCTACAAACAAATGTGTTTGTGTTAATGCGAAGTTGCATTAAAGCACTGTTACACAGTTGGCGACAATAGATGTTCGCGATAGGTTCGCATAGAACTCAGAATATAGAATAACGTCGTAAATGATAGTTATTAGGTCGCAGAGGGCGACGCGTGCGTTGATAATTATTGTAATCTGCGCCGGCGCCGCTCCCGCTGGGTACGCCTTTTCTATTATTGTTCCCATTTTAGGTTTTCATCTAGCGTTTATTGCGCTGTTCTCGTGAGCATTAATGACTGTACGGAGGTTATACGGAATGCTGTCATCGCCTCCGTGTCATAATTGTAAAATGTGTCTACACGGTATCCGGACACATTGGTGTGAACTAAAAAGTTTGTTTGTTTGAACGCGATAATCACAGAAACTACTAGTGTAACAAAAAAAAAATATATCGAAGAAGGCTTGAGGGCTATAAAATATTATGCTGCAACTATTAGAAACGAAAAAACAGCGGGAACTGTGATGAGTAAAGGGAAGAATTATTCATCTTTAAGGGTTGCGTTGCATGCGAAAATGGTTTAGAATAGCATAAAAAATATGTGTAATGATTTCTCTTCAAATTATTTAATAAATAGTTAAATAGTATGGTATTTCCATACTATTTAACCATACCATAGTTAAATAGTATGGTATTTCCATACTATTTAACCATACCCTACCCTACCATAACCTTTTTTTTAAGAATTTAGAATAAAACCGTTTTTATGGTAATAAAATTTTGGTAAAAAATACTTCATATAGCAAAACAACGTTTGCCAGGACAGCTAGTATTAAATAAAAATCCATTTTAATCTTTAATACAAAAGTAACACACGTTGCTGCGCGTGCGCATCTGTCGACGCCGCCCTCTGCCCGCCCAGCCCTGGACTGAGCTATAGTCTTGATATATCAAATAACATTCCCTATTACAAACAGTGGGCTTTCCTTTGTTAGTATTATGAATGTTATAAAGAGTAATTGATGGTTACGAAAGAGTCACCCGTTTACAATTTTTGCGACAATGGTTGCCAAAATCTTTAATCAGTCCGTATTAAATTCTATACTTACAGTAACCAAAAAATATTTCAAATAGTATTAAATAATTCTTCTTCTAAAAGTTCTATATGACACAAAAAAAATTGATTTTAATCAAATATTGTGATAAAAATGAATATGGTTATGTAATTAAACCGTATTTATACTTTAAAAATCGAAAATAAATTGAAAAAATTTTTCGACTCGGGCAGGACTTGAACCGGCATCGTCAGCTTTCCGTGCTGTTGCTCTTCAAGTCCTGCCCGAGTCGAAAATTTTTTCAATTTATTTTCGATTTTTAAATTATATAGTGCCTTCATGTGCAATAACATGTGAAAAATATTAATGTTTTCAAACGTATTTATACTTACTAGGTATTATTACAACTTGTAAATATTAATCGTTTACACTAAGTGTTATAAATATAGAAATTAGAAGTACGAATCTTCTTGGAATCGATTAAATAAAGATTCTTGTTCATCTATTTGCTGAAGAAAGTAGTGAAATCCCATTTTCCCCGTAGGGTATGGGAACACATTTCTGCGTTAGTTTCACTAATCGGTTTTCTTAACAAGCAAGTAGTTGATCAGACTTCTGTGCCTTAAAAAGATAGTAACCACTGCCAAATATTGACAAATTTGACCTGTGTAAAATATAGTATAGTCATTAATTCATAAATTAAAGTACACTGTATAAAAATCTCAATAGCAATTAAAACAGTTTAAATATAACAATATATGATATAAGTTGAATAGAATATAGTAACAAACAGAGCCTTTAATAAAAATACAGCCTATAAACAAAAACAGATAATACCATTTTCAAAAATTCAAAGACAATAAACTAATCAAACGTCAATATCAAAACCTTGTTGTCAATTGTCAATCCTTCAAAAGTCTATTTAGAAAAAAAGTACTACTCGCGCTAACTACAGACAATATTTTATATAAGGAGTTAATGACAAAAATAACCCGTATGTCGTTAAGTCCCCTCGAAGTTATACAAAGCTGGCAATGGAAGGGTGTAAATCCGGTTGCAATCTTACACCGACTTCCGTCGCTTTCAACTGAAAATACTTTGTTACAAACTACAATATGTACACGAATCCAAATAAAAAATCAACGTACTAGCACTTGCAACGAACACGAAACGCGATTGAAATATGTTGGACCTGGTGAGTATCGAATTCACGACCCGTTATTAGCCATTAGACCAACGAGTCCGTCGAGGTTTCTTAAACCCTAATAACAAAATGCAATTTTAATGGTCATGTAAGTATAACTAGGAAATGTAAAATGCTGTCAGCATAGTTTGCACATTAAAAAAAAACACTTTAACGGCTTAAAACGCGATATATTTTTAGTAAAATTTATTTAGAAATTATTTTAAATACAACCCGATGTTTCGGATGCTTTGAAGCAGTCGTGACCACCGTTTACATAAACTGTAGACAAACCGATCATTAATTATTTGCATTGGGTCATAAATTAGTTAAAAATAAATTAAGTACTAAAGACACACGTTTTAAACCGTTATACCTAAGTGTTGACATGTCATAGTGGAAACTATAAACAAATACGATTAAGACAATAATAAATTGGCTTCAGACGTGACTATGTCGGCCGGCTCTGTAAGTAAATGATAAAACCTAACCTAACCAAACCATGCGTTAAGTGCGAGAGTTCTTGGGTTCGAATACCGGTAAACATTGTAATACAGAACTGTTAATGGTTTCGAAAGCGACACAAATATTTAATAAAATTTAAAAAAAAAATATTTGCAAATTGATTACTTTTAAATATCCAAGTGCATCAGGATTCACCAACGGTAGAACATCCTGTTACAAATTGAGAATGTCAAACCGGGGATAATCCGTTGCCATTTACCCAAAATATTGTCCAAGTTTCATTCAAAACACGTGTGATTTCTATCTTTTTTCATACAAGGGTATTGTCATCGCTAGCTCCTTT